CACCTCACCGACAACCTTCTCAACCCTTTACAGTCCGGCTTCCACCCCCTACACTCCACTGAAACTGCCCTACTCAAACTCACCAATGACCTACTAACCGCCAAAACCAATGGCCACTACGCAGTACTCCTACTTCTTGACCTCTCTGCGGCTTTTGACATGGTTGACCACCCCCTCCTCCTCAAAAAAACTGCACTCTCTTGGCCTCAGAGACTCCGCTCTCTCCTGGTTCTCCTCCTATCTATAGCAGCGCTCCTTCAGTGTTACCTATAATGCTGCCACCTCCTCTTCACTCCCTCTCTCTGTTGGGGTCCCCCAAGGTTCTGTCCTTGGACCCCTTCTCTTCTCCATCTACACCTCATCCCTTGGCCAATTGATAAACTCCCATGGCTTCAACTACCATCTCTATGCTGACGACACACAAATCTCTCTACCCCTCACCTCACCCCCTCAGTCTCCAATCGTATCACTAGCCTACTAAGTGACATATCAGACTGGATGTCACTCCACTTCCTCAAACTCAATCTTTCCAAAACTGAGCTCATACTATTCCCTCCAGCCCGTACCCCCTCCCCTAACTTCTCCATCAAGATCAACAACACTATCATCAGTCCCACCCCTCACGCCAGGGTAGTAGGTGTAATCCTAGACTCCAATCTGTCCTTTCAGCCCCAGGTCCAATCGCTGACAAACTCGTGTAAACTTCACCTCCGCAACATCTCAAAGATACGACCGTTCCTAACCCCGGAAACTACTAAGCAGCTCATTCACCCTCTTGTTATATCACGCTTCGACTACTGTAACTCCCTCCTCATTGGCCTACCTCATCACAGGCTATCCCCACTTCAGTTTATCATGAATGCTGCTGCCAGACTCATTCACCTTACTAACCGCTCTGTATCTGCCACCCCTCTCTGCCAATCCCTCCACTGGCTTCCAATTGCCCAACGGATAAAATTCAAAACACGAACACTGATGTATAAAGCCGTTCATAACACTGCCCCAAATTACATCACCGATCTTGTCTCTAAATACCACCCAAACCATACTCTCCGCTCCTCGCAAGACCTCCTACTCTCTAGCTCCCTTGTCTCCTCCTCCCCAGGATTTCTCCAGGGCTTCTCCCATCCTCTGGAACTCCCTACCCAAATCTATCAGACTATCACCTACTCTGCTCACTTTTAGGCGCACTCTGAAAACCCATCTCTTCAGGGAAGCCTACCCCACCCCCAGCTAATACTGGAATCCTTTACTATTCCAACCACTCCATCCCCCACAGTTATTTACCCTTTGTACTACTATCCCCTCCCTCCTAGATTGTAAACTCCAAGGAGCAGGGCCCTCTAATCCCTCTTGTATTGAACTGTATTGTTACTGTACTGTCTCCCTTTATAATGTAAAGCGCTGAGCAAACTGTCAGCGCTATAGAAGTCCTGTATAATAATAATATGGTGGACATATATATATAGTTCATAGCATGTTTTTTCGTTTTCACTTCTATGAATTAGAATTTTTTTTATAATGATTTATTTGTACTATTTATGCATATATGTTACAGCACTAGAGCACTTTAATGCATTACCTGCATTAACATAAAAAAAATGTACCAGTGTTTGTATCCCCCCTCACCCTTTTAAGGCCTCATGCACACTGGTTTATTGTAAACCACTGTTTCTCCTGACAGGAGAAAATTAGTGTTAAAAACTCACTTAAGCTGCCTTTTTCCAAAACCATTAAGCATTTGGGTATTTATTTCATTGGACAGAATTTGAATTTATTCTTGAGATGTATAAATGCTTAACTGCTAAACGCACCTAGTGTTTAGGTAGGTTTAGATGCCTTTCTCAGCACCCAATCTCTGCTGCTCCTGGAAGAACTAGCAGTGGACTTTTTTTTCCTGGCACTAATTGCTGCTAAAAGCCTGAGTGTGCATGGACACATAGGCTAACATGCAAGGGAGTTTAGAAGCAAAAAAAAAAAAATGCAGGGCGCCCCTAGGAGCAGCTGTAGAAACATCCAGTGTGCATGAGGCCTTATACTTACCTGAGCCAGATCACAATCCAGCACTGGGCCCAAGTGCAGCAGCTCTCTCCTCTCTGAGGCAGCAGCGGGAGCCATTGGCTCCTGCTGTCAATCAAATCCTGTGAGCAGTGTGAGGGGTGGGGCTGAGCCACGCTGTGTGTGTTAGTAGATGCACACAGCCTGGCTCAGGATCAAGCCTTAGGGTGTGCCACAGGAAGTAGCGGCTTCCTATAGTAGTGCACCAAGAAAAGGAGCCTGGAGTACCGGTGGGGGACCCCAGAAGAGGAGTTTTTCGGGGCTACTCTGTGCAAAATTATTGCATAGAGCAGATATTACGTTTATTAAATTACAAACAAAACCTTTGGATTCACACATGTGCGGTGAGGTTTTGAAGATCCGTTTTCACAGCAAATTACAAAGCAGTTGTTCAGCAGTTTAGGGCTGGCTCAGGACAGGATTCGAAGAGAGACGTGCAATTCAGAAGTGGTTCCCATAGAAGACAATGGGCCTGAATTTGTACCTGAGCTGGACCGCACTGCTGAGAAAACTGGCAGGACTCTTAATTCTCGCTGAATCAGCACAGGCACAACAGAAAGCAATGGTCTTTCACATGTCATGCAAATTGGATGTGGTTCAAAATATATATGCATATATAAATCGCATATATGTGAACCGGCTCTAAAAGGGACAGTGGGTTTTTGAGGTTGTATTGTATTCCAGCATACACATACCTAACTTTTAACGGAAAAAATTAATGAGTGGATCATCCCATCTAATTTCCTTTAATATTTAATCATGTTCAAGGGGAAATCTTTTTACATAGTGAGAGGTAGCGCTCATAGGAGGATCCATCAGCATTAAGATATTAATCACATTGCTGCGATTTGTGTAATTTCTGAATACTTTATTGCTACTTGTGAAGATTTAACACTTTCTTGCAATTTGCAGTGCAATTTCCATTATATTCTATGTATGTAAAAAAGCAACAAAACTGCAGAAAAAGTAACACAAGAACTATTTTAGAAATCGCACTGCAGCAAATTGCACATGTTAAGACACTAACATTCACTAGGTGCAATTTCAATTTGCACCACTATGACGAGGCACTAAGCTCTGCTCACACTGAATGCAACTTTAAAATCGTGCTACTTCACTTGAAGTAGTGCGATTTCAAAGTTGCAGATCAATGAGATTTGTACCTCTAACTTCACTGTGGCTTGCAACTTTATTAAGCCCCTGGTCACATCGTGTGCAACTTGGCATGCAATTTGCATGCCAGGTGACTTGCACATCATATGCCAAGTCGCACCCTATTGTCCGCTATTAAAGTGCTCATAGCGGTGCGGTTCCGACTTGGTCAGAGCCTCACCAATTTCTAAAGTACATGTACTACTTTTGTTGCGATTTCCATAGACATCTGTGTCAGATGTCTTGCAAATCGCAATGAAATCAGCATGTTACCCGATTTTGAAATCCTGCGACTTCACTGTAAGTTGAACAATTTCAAAATTGGCTTTGATGTGACCGGGGTGTAAGTCACTGGTCACACCGCTGCAAATTAAAAATCACATGATTTGTGTACAATTTCAGGTGTGATTTCTGAAGACTTTATTGCTACTTGTGAAGATTTTCAATGATTTCTTGCAATTTCCTTTATATTCTTTGTATGTTAAATTGCAACAAAACTGCAGAAAAAGTAATGCAAGAACGACTTTAGAAAACACGCGGCAGGACACTAACGTTCACTAGATGCAATTTCAATTTGCAAATCGCACTGGTGTGGACGGCCACTAAGCCCTGTTTCGCACTGATTGCAACTTTGAAATTGTGCCACTTTACTTGAAGTAGTGTGATTTCAAAGTTAAAGATCAGTGAGATTTTTGCCTCCAATTTCACTGTGGCTTGCAACTTCATTTAGCAAAAGTCAATGCAAGTTCGCAATCCAAATCAGAAAAAAAGAAAAGTAGCACAGGAACTATTTTTGAAATCATACCGATCTGAAGTAGTGCCATTGAAATACATTAGATGGGATTTGTAAATCGCATGCAGCACCAGTGTGAACCAGGGCTTCTAGTGAGGCTCACACTCTAACTCTACACCCTGTAAACAATGCAGGTACGAGCAGAACCTATGTTCTCTTTAATTGGTTTGCAATAATAAAATCAATACCAGTGCTTCCATGTGCCAATGCCTCCCAGCCTATAAAGGGCCCACTATACTGTATTACAGACGATGAGTGGATATCCGAGCACGGACTGTAGCAGTAATAGACGGTTAGTCAGTTCCGGTCTCTCCTGAGGAATGTTACTTCTTTCTGAGCCGTTTACAGTTTATTCCAAGAATACGAAGTATCATTCCATACACGTGCCGCCAGCTCCGGTCACACGGCCCCCTTCACAGAACATAGAAGAAACACTGCTCCGTTTTCCGCTCCTAATATACTCCACTTTCACATGTCCTCATTATCATTGTACAGCTGCAAAACGATTTTCTGGGAAATAAAACAACAAGCAAACTTTATTTGTACTGAGAGAGCGCACACACTAAACCCGGGGGGTACGCGCTTAGGACCCACGTGTGCCTCTCACACAACGCAGCCATCTTGCCCTCTCTATTGACCACATGGTACATTCGCCCAAAATGGCTACAACCCCAGCCGCATCTCGCTTCCTGATAGGGCAATGTCTTGCCCTCGTGCTCTAATTGGTGCGCTCTTTGCGTTCCACTGCTGCTGCTCAGCACGCCATTGGCTGCTCCTTCGGACATGCTCAGAATAGCAACCTGAGCCCGGGATGACGCCAGCCCCCTCGGCACTCTCGCATTGGCTAGCCGCCGACACGTGATAGGGAATCTTTATTAGCGCCTTCTCTAGAGATCGCCTACCAGTCGGTTTCTTGTCACAGGCCCGTTACGTCCTCCAGAAGCGGAGCGCACCCACGTGACATTCCATCCAGTGGACACGCACATCGGCTATCGACATGGTTAAGTTAGCGAAGGTAATATTTTTACGTAAAGGAGATGCGTTTGTTCTCTAAATTTTCATTTTAATATTGAATGAGTATATGCATGGTAACCGAGCGGGCGGCGGATTCATAATAGATTGGTGAATAAGGGATGTGTCGGAGAACCGTGAGGGATGGCGGAGCGGCCTGACTCGCTGCTGCAGAGTACGGCAAGCCCGGGGCTGTACGCAGGCGCGGTGCTCGGTGGATGACGTCACGCGCCTTCCTTGTTAATTATTCGGTGATGGGTTTGGGGCTTGTTTTATTTTCGTGGTGGGTGGCCGGGCGGTGTGGCTGTGGCTAGTAAGGTGGATATGACCGCGCTCGGTGTGGGGGATAGAACTCTTATAGTAAGCCCTCGTGTGGTAGGTGTGCGGCCCTCTACCGGCGCCATTTTGTTTTCCCGCGAGCCGAATGTGAGACAACCTCGCGCCTCACTTCCGCTCCCCACGCAAGCTCGGTGATCCCGCGTGGCGGCTGCACGTGGTCTTGGGGCTGCCTGTTTGCTCCACGTGGCCTCCCCTGCTGAGTGTGAGGGTAGAGCGCTGCTCCCATTCTGAGGGCCCTTATCACCGAAGGGGCTTTTGGCAGGGATGGGTACAACGTGTAACAATGAGTCGCCTTTTCAGACAAGGCTGCTGCACTTCTAACACACTTGGCTAGAGTAATCAGAGCGTCACGGAAAAACTGCCGTCCTCCTCCCCTCCCCCTTCTACTTTTGGAACAATTTTTTATATTTTTTTGGGGGGTTCGAGGTTTTGATGTGTTATACTCCTAAATTGCCTCAGCGGTTTCCCCCCGAAGTCCCTTCTGCCTCCTTGTCCACAACCTTCTGGGACAAATCACATGTGGGGGCCATTCACCTAGTGCAGGTAGCACATGCTCAGTGTGGAGCCGCTAGGCCTCACAGCTTACCTCCCACACTGCATGGCAACTCCAGAGTCTTGAAGGCCAGTGAGGACAGCGCTGGATACCTGGACAGGTAAGTGTCTCAAGTCAGCGGCTATGTTATTTGCAGCTGCAAACTTTCAGTGCGAAGTGATGTCTACCCCAGTGTAATGGCCTCATGCACGCTGGATGTTTTCTACAGCCCATAAACTCCCGCATGTTCTCCTGTTTGTCCATGCACACACAGGATTTAATCAGTGGTTTTTGGCTGGAAAAAAAACCCCCAAACTAGTGTGTTTCTAGAGGAGTTTTTTAGCTGTGTAAACGCTCCTATGCTGGTAAATGCAGCAATCCAGCGTTTTAGCTAACATTTCATTTTTTTACAAACCCACTAATGCAAAAATGTTGAAAAATGTGCGTTTTTACGTTAATTATACAGCTCAGGCTATCAGCGTTTTTAAAACGCCCAGTGTGCATGAGGACTGTAGAAGAGAAATTTTTTTTTTTTTTTTTACACTTGGTTTGACCACAGCCAGGGTGTATACAAAGTTTCGGCACCATTTTAGTCGCTGCCCCCATAGTTTTTCTATTGGCACATTTTCTGAAAGCGCACCAAAATGTCTGCATGCTGCATCTTTGGTACGCTTTTTAGAATGCATGGCAGCTAATGGAAAGTCTCAACCACAATACTCCATACACCCATGCTGTGACCAAACTGCAGTGGTGTAAAGCCTCATGTACACTGCTGCTCTTGGATGGGAGTTTGGGAACTTTTGGCGTTTTTTTTTTTCCAAAGCTCTAGTCATTTTTAACACTTCAGATATTAAAACAAGCCTTGCATTGTAATGCAAATGAAGGCTAACTGAAAGTTTTTGATGTATATACTTTGTATTTTGTTGAACCTCTGTTGTAGCAAAATACTTTTTTGTCACCATGTGATGGCGTGTAATATCCCTATACTATGCACTTTCAATGTCGCCATGTGATGGCATGTACCTTCTCTTTTTTTTTTATGTGTGGAGCTTCATGTCTCTTGCTCTGAGAGGGTTTTGGTTTCTTTCACACCTTCCAACCACAATTGTTGGCAATGGGCACAAAAATGTATTTCAAGAGACAGCTGGCACTGAGGTGATGGCAGAACCAGATGGGGAATTCTGAGAGACTAGTTCCTCGCCAGATCCACCTTCCTTTTGATTGGTAGTGGGTGGATTCCAAAGCTGTTAAAAGCAGCCCAATAGTGTCTAGAATTTGCCCACTAATGTCCACGGTCAACCATAAGGACGGCAGTACTGATGGTGAACTAGTCTCTCAGCATCCCTGTCAGGCTTCACGGGCTGTCCCAAGTTCAGTATAGCATTGTTGGTTGCTAGGATGCTGGCTGCCTGCTTCCTAGGAAACAATGATGCGAATACAAAAGTTAACATTGAACTCTTTCATTGAACATATCCTTTCTTTGAATGCAGAAAATTGAGGCGCATTTAAAGTGACAAGTTTTTATTTATTGCAGGGAGCAAAAGCACAAGGTAAGCCTAAGAAGGCACCTCCTCCAAAAGAAGTAGAAGACAGTGAGGAAGATGAAGAAATGGAAGAGGAAAGCAGTGAAGAAGAGGTAACCTTCTGCAATAAATATTTGGTATAGGCTACTTCATGCTTGCACTCTTGTCAGTTTGATCAACCTATAATTTATTAAGATTCCAGTTTCATTTCACTTTTATAAGCTGGCCCAAATGATTTTCAATACCATCACCTGTAATGTGCTATAGTAACAGCTGCATGCATTAAGCGGCATTGCGTTCCTACCAACTTCCTTTCTGCTAACAGCATGGGAGAGCACACAACCCCCCTCCCCAGACCAGGTATTCAGCATACCTTGAAGTATGGATGCAGATGACTCTTCGACAGCTGTAGCTCTTCATGTACGCAGATTTCCCTGCCCTAACTTGGGATTGCTTTTTCAAAGGCATTTGACAGGAGGCTCAGGGGCCATGTATTTCGTTACTGCCTGTTAATCCTTGAAATCCTGCAGTGTAATGCACACAGTTGTGGTGTGGCCCCCTCATTCACTTAAATAGGTTGCCTTTGGTGGCAGTACCACCCACCAAAAGTGACCTGTGGTATAAATTTTGCTGCACCAGGGCAGTGTACTAATATGGTGGCACCATGAAAACTCCTCAGCTCAACCATCTGTTATCGCAGCACTGTATTTAGGTCCTAAAGTGAAGTTCCCTCCTGCTGCTGTGAAAGCTGATTGTCTGCTCTTTAAAACAAAAAAAAAATACTGGGGTGATGCCTGCAGCTGCGTCAATAGCAATCCTACAAACTTGCACAGGACCCTTCTCATAATGGAACTCAAAACACGATGCATGTGGATTGCGTATGTGTGAACCACTTCAATAGGAACACAGAAAATCTGGCCTGTCATGCAAATCTACGAGTTTCAAAACTAAACCAGAATCGCATATATGTGAACCAGGGAGCTCCATACACACCATTTTGGGATTGCTGCAGAATCTCTGATCGCAAAATGCAGGTTCAGGTGCCATTATTTTCAATTGTGCCTATAACATGGTGCTGTTTTGCCATGCCTAACCTTTAGCTGGCTTCTAGATTCAAAGCAAATTTGTGAAGCCCTGTACTTGCCTATTTTCATCCCGGTCCAGTCACGTTATCTGTATCAGCCAGTTGTGGCTAAAGGGGAAGAGGAGAGCGTGCTCCAACGGCTGATTTTTGCCTGCAGTGGTCACCCCCTAGGCTTCAATAACCTATCCATTATTGGCTCTCCCTCGTCCCCACAGCAGTGCTGGCTGACACAGGACCAGGGTCGAATGACTGTACCGTATCAGACTGAAAAATGCACAAGTATATACATCTTTCTTATAAAAGTTTTATATAGAAGATGGGCCAATTTTTAAGAATAGTTAGGTTGAGGCAGGAATTCCACTTTAAATACATTCGAGCATGTGGGAACTTGATTTGCTACTTCTGTAAAACAATGTGTCTACACACTGGTAGTTTACAGAGCACACCATACTAGACTTTTTTTTTTTTTTTTGTGTGTGTGTTCGTCCCTTAATAGGGGTCTATAGATTGTTTGGTGACTCTACTTAACTTGGCCATAGATGATTACATTTTTCTGGGAGAACACATTGATTATTGTTAGCGGATAAAATCATAAGCAATAATCACATGAAAAATCCAACAGGCTGATTGTACCCAAGTCGTACAACAATCGAATTGGGTACAAGCAGCCTGCCCATAGATGGTTCAAATCTCGTCTGGTCCCTGCTGAACTGGCCAGGGTTTGCACCTCTATAGCTGGCTTATGTTTAGTTGAATATATTTGCCATCCTTCCTCTGCCCCCAATACAATCTACTGGACCTGTTGCAGACACTCTTTCCACCCCAGCCGAACAAATATCACACAACTCTGAATTTAGATGACTATATTCTATAGGAATATTGATTCCTAATACACTATATTGCCAAAAGTATTGGGACACACCCTCCCAAATCAATGGATTTAGGTGTTCCAATCACCTCGATGGCCACAGGTGTATAAAATCAAGCACCTAGGTATGCAGACCTCTTTTACAGACATTTTGTGAAAGAATGGGTCGCTCTCAGGACCTCGGTGAATTCAAGTGTAGCACCGTGATAGGTTGCCACCTGTGCAATAAGTCCATCCGTGAAATTTCTTTGCTACTAAATATTCCACGGTCAACTGTTAAGTGGTAATATAACGAAGTGGAAGCAACTGGGAACAGCAGCAACTCTGCCACAAAGTGGTAGGCCACATAAAATGACAGCGGGGTCAGCGCATGCTGAAGTGCAGTGTACAGAAGTCGCCCACTGTCTACAGAGTCAATAGCTAAAGACCAACCTTTGTGTGGTCTTCAAATTGCCACAACAGTGCAGAGAGCTTCATGTAATGGGTTTCCATGGCCGAGCAGCTGCATCCAAGCCTTACGTCACCAAGTGCAATGCGAAGCATTGGATGCAGTATTGTAACGCCACTACTGAACTCTAGAGCAGTGGAGATGTGTTCTCTGGAGTGACAACTTGCACTTGTGTCTGGCAATCCAATGGATGTGTCTGGCGGTTGTCAGGAAAACGGTACTTTATTTACTGCCTTGTGCCATGTGTAAAGTTTGGTGGGATTAGGTGTGGTGTTGTTTTTCAGGGAATGGGCCAGGCCACTTAGTTCCAGTGAAGGGAACTCTTTTTAAAGAGTCAGCATACCAAGACATTTTGGACAATTTTATGCTCCCAACTTTGTGTGAATAGTGTGGGGATGGCCCCTTCCTGTTCCAACACAACTGCACACCAGTGCACAAAGCAAGGTCTGTTAAGACATGGATGAGCGCATATTGAGGTGGATGAACTTGACTGGCCTGCACAGACTCCTGACCTCAACCTTGTGGACAGCCTTCGCAGAAGAGTTAAAATGGAGTTCCACTCACCCTGTCAAAAAGTAAGTCCGCAGCTACAAAAACTAGCTGCTGGCTTTTAAAAAAAAAACAAAAAAACAGCCACTTACCTGTATTTCAGTCCTGTGGTGTGTCCCCCACAGCTCGTTTCACTGGCCGTCCTGTATTCCAGGAGGCCGGCATCTTCAGTGTGGGCACCCGGCTGTGACAGCTTGCGGCTTCACAGCCGGGTACCTACTGCGCATGCGCGAGTAGCGCTGCTCTTAATCAATGGTCCTGTAGTCTTCATGGACCTCTCACGTGTCCCAAAAGAATACGGAGGGAGGACGCCTTCTGCTTCCGATCACCTAGGTGATCAGACCGTAAGTGGGAGCAGTTGCCTGTCAAATTTGGGTACCCGCTCCCGCGCCCCCCAAAGGTGCCAATCCTTAATGGGGAGCAGTCCTTAAAGTGGAACGTCCCCTTTTGGGTGGAGCTCCGCTTTAAAGCGGTTATAGCTGCAAAGGGTGGGGAAACTCAATATTGAACCCTATGGACAAAGACTGGGATGCCATTAAAGTTGTGTTTAAAGGCAGGTGTCCCAATACTTTTGGCAATATAGTGTATATTATGACAGGAAATGTTGGGGTGGCGGGTGGTTATGCAGTCTGTCTAAAAGACTTCAGTCCACCTGGCATCAGTTTGACCACACTGTTCACTGTACTTTGTAATCTAGCAGACCTGGGCCTTCTCTTTACTCAATGTGTGTGAGGTTGCTTGGGTGGGAGAGCAGGGTGATTGTTTCCCCTAGTAAAGTTAAATGGTAAAGCATCTTTAAGCATATAAGTTATTGAAAATAGAAACCCAGTTTGGGATTGTTGCTCAAGAAAATTACCCCAGTTAACTGCAAGATCATAAACTTTTTTTTTTTTTTGTTCTGCATAAAGTAAGCATACATTGTGACCCTGATCTATTTCTCCTCTTTATAGGTGCCAGTGAAAAATACACCAGCCAAAAAAGCAGCCACTCCAGCTAAGGCAACTCCAGGGAAGAAAGCCGCTACTCCAGCTAAGCCTGTAGCCACACCAGGAAAGAAATCTGCTCCAGCAGTGGCAAAGAATGGAAAACGTGCTAAGCAGCAAGAGAGTGAAGATGAGGAAGACAGTGGTAGGTTTATCTTGGCTTGGATTATATTGAGGCTTTGTAGGATTCTTGCAGTCCTTAACGAAGGTAAACTAGTCTTAAAATTCCCTCCACTGCTGTTTTAGTATATGCAATACCTTTTAATATTGGAACATCAGTGGCTAAGACCTGCAAATGTACAATGATAGGGATTCTTGTGGACGCTGGATATATTGCTAGAATTTTTTAAAGAGATTGTAAACCCTCCCCTTGTAAAACAACCCATTCCGTTTTAAAATAGAAATAAGAGGCAAAACATTTGTGTATAGATATTCTACCCCCCTTCCTTAATCATATCATGGTGATCATATTACTCTGTACTCACCTGCACAAGTGCTAGGGGAGGAGAAACAGCAGTAAACTGAACTTCCCAGTCAAAGCCTGTGCAGGGGGAAGATGTCAGGACAAGTGTGATCATTGGGGGAAAGCAGGCTGAGTTCCCAGAACAGTTGGAGAACGGACAACAATGTGGTCTGTTTTTAATTGGAAAGCAGAGGGACTGACAGGAGCACTAGAGATTTCACACAAAGGACACAATACAAAGAGAACAGGATACTTCATACAAGTACATGGTACAGCAGGCACATATCAGGAATGTTTTTTGATTTATAGATGAAGAGGAGTCTGAAGAGGAAATGGCGCAAATTGCCAATAAACCTGCCAAAAAACCTGTAGCTAAGAAGGAAGAATCGGAGGAGGAAGAGGAGGAGGAAGATGATGAGGAGGATGATGGTATGCAAAGTGTGGACTATAGTGTTTTTAGTGGGAATATTTTGATCTGTTGGCCAGACATCTAACCATTTTAGAAGCCTTTAGCAATGGCAGCCAAAATATCAGATGAGCTGTCTGTAAGTTCATTTTTCTCAATGTTGCTCAATAGGAGTAAAAATTGAAGTGTGGGTTTATTTTCTTCCTAAATTGTAGAATCAACAGGGAACAAAATAAATGCCTTCATTGCCATCACCAGAACCATTTGGAAGACTTCACCTGGTTTAGTGATAAGTGGCATTTTAGTACTCATTCAAAACTTTGTTGTTTTTGGATAGAGTAGGGAAGGATTAGAATCTGGATTTTACGGCTACCTTAAACTTAGATTTCCCCTTGCCTTTTGTCCTGGTTTCAGCAAAGTGATGGGAAATCTCACTTTTTGTTTTTTACTTGCTTGCATTTTTTTAAGTATCTGTTTCACAGTATGTACTTCTGGTATAACTTTTCAAAGCTGGGCACACATGATGAATATATTGGGACTTAATACAGATTGTCTTCATGTTGATTATCTCTTTAACTGATGTGCTTTTTTTTGCCTGAGAACAAGTGTATCTGCTTTGTTTAATGTTGCTAGATGGTGTTGAAGAAGAGAAAAAACCTGTTGCCAAGAAAGCTCCTGCCAAAATGCCTCAAGGGAAGAAAGCTGGAAAGGAGGAGTCTGAAGAGGAGGGTAAGCTGCCTGCTGTCTTGTGAATTGTTGGCACAAATGATGAACAATTTTGGGACTTAATACTGATCTTTTGATGACTGATGTTTGCTGATGTGCCAGAAATGTGATAACTTTGTTTTTAAAATGCAATGGAGATCTCTTTTTACTGTAACTTTTTATTTTTTTTTTTTTACTTGTGTAATTGAAAAAAAAACCTTTTGTCTTTTTTTTTTTTCTTTTTGCGGTCTGCGTCCCCGTTTTGTAGAGATTCAACATTTTGTTGCCACCAAAACATGAATGCAGGAGACCTTTTTCTAATGGGGGCACCTTTTTCCTGTGACAACTGTCTGAGAGGATATCCTTCACATTGGAAAGATATCTCCTCTTTCATGTTGAGGCAACATTGAAGGAAGTGAAGGGAATTCTCTGACACAGATGGTCAATAAATGGAACCCTCTCCTCTTCTATCCAACATATTTTTAAAAAAGGGAAAAAAAAGCCTTTTTGCTCTACTTAACTGCATTGCCATATTTAACCACTTCAAGTCTGGACACTTTTACCCCCTTCCTGGTCCAGGCCAATCTTCAGCTTTCAGTGCTATCACACTTTGAATGACAATTGCGCGGTCATGCAACACTGTACCCATATGAATTTTTTTAGCCTTTTTTTTGAGACAGATAAAGCTTTATTTTGGTGGTATTTATTCACCATTGGGATTTTTTTTTTTTTTTGCTATGTAAATGAAATAGTCCAAAAATTTTGAAAAAAAGTGTTTTTTCTTATAAAAATTTTGCAAATAATATTTAATCATAAATCTTGGCCAAAATGTATTCCTTTCTTTTTAGTAAAAAAAAAAATACCCAAATTTAGTTTATAACCAAAAATTATAATTTTTTAAACATTTTTTTTACATTTTTTGTGTTTTTTATATATTATGTTTTTTACATACTGTCACCCTAGCACTCTACTTTTGGGGGGAGTGTCACCATGATGATTTTTTTTTTTTTTTTTTTTACACTGATCGCTTTTACACCCATAAAGGCTGTAAAAGCAATAATTTCATCTCTCTGGCTGCATTCTTGCAGCCATTGAGAACTACTGTGTGGACTGTGATTGGTCACATCTTGTCACATGGTACAAGGTGTTGTGAATAGCCTTGTACCATGTGACCTCTGTGATCATTCAGATTTTCACACGTAGTAAGCAATGTCAGAAGTGACATCTTGCTTACTACTCTGCATGTGATCACTGATTGGCCAATCAGTGATCACATGATTGGGACCTCGCACAGAGTACAATGATCAGTGTTCCACACTCCCAGGGGGGCACCGGAGGCCATTTATAAACTGACACCCGACACTGCGTTGCCACCGTCCGGGGGGGAGGTTTCTATACAACGGCTGGATGGGAGGGGGTTTATATACAGCGGCCGGACAGGAAGGTGGTTAATAAGATTTTCTATTGACCTCATTTTACAAAAGTGTGAGGATTTTTGGTTACAATACGCAATAAACTGTTTTTGAAATGTCAGACTCTGATGAAGAAGCAATGGAAGTGACACCAACTGTTACTAAAGGAAAAAAAAGCTGGTCCTGCCAAAAAAGAGGAATCTGAAGAGGAAGAGGATGACGAGGAGGAGGAGGATGATGATGAAGATGACGATGAAGAGGAAGATGATGATGATGGTATGTTCTATTTAGTATGTTGCATCTTGTATAACAGATAGCAGAGAAAACTACTAACTTCTGTTCTCTTCAGAGGGCCCAAAAGACTCTGCAAAACGCAAAAAAAGAGATGCCTGAGAGTAAAGGTGCTCCTGAAGCAAAGAAGCAGAAAACAGAAGGTGGAAATGAAGGTATTTTGTTTTGTAAAGCACAAAGTTTTTATTTTAGCAGAATAACTTTTTGGCTTTTTTTTTTTTTTTTTTATATTGTGCAAGGGTAATTTCTAAGCAAGTTTATATAAAACTTTTTAACCCATTTTTGCTCCTGCTCTTACTGTACAACAGTGGCATGTACAGTAAAAATAAAATATGCTGCTTTATATATATTTATATATATATATAGCTGTTTTTTTTACATACTTTACCTGGAAATTGAGCATTTTGTTTTTCATTAGTTTTTTGCTGAAAAATAAAAAAAAAAAAAAAAAGTCATACATTTTAATTTTCTTAAAACATCTTTAGGGTTTCATGTGCAATTTTTTATGTACAAATGTGCACACAATTTAAAAAAATTGGCTCTGGAAGTGATGTGTTTAGGAAACGTTACTCTAGGCAGGGCAGGGGGATGTATGCTGGACTCTTGGTTTTCTGGCACCTATAGACCTTTGTCGTGTACTATGCATATCCAGATGCACAGATTAATGAAAATGTCAGGAAATCCATATTGGCTGTGTGCATTCCAGTTGAGAAAATTTGAGAATTCTCACCTGCAATATAATGGCCCTTCTGGGGTACAAGTGTCAAGAAAATTTCAGTTGAGTTTTCTCTTGTCAGTAGTATTAAGTCTGCAAGTGTCAATTTTCCTTTAGATTTTCCAAAACATATGCGGTCAAACCTAACTTTCAGTTTGTATGCAGTCAGGAAGGCTCTTGCATGTCTTAGTTGAAGGTAAATCTAAAGGAAATTGAATAGGAAAGTTGTGTAATGTATGGCCAGCTTTAGCCTCTGTTCTGCAGTTGCCATGGTGCTGCGCGTGTGATTGGTTATAACACCAACCATTAAAATGGCTTGACAGTTTAGTTGAAAGATGCAGGTAACTGTGACAGTTTTTCTCATGGGATGCTCTGAATGTCATTTATGTGAAACTGTTAAATCGGTGTGTGTATATCTCTGCTTTAAGTTGTGTTCGTATAGTAGTACAGGGGCGGGGCAAACTTTTTGACTTGAGGGCCGCAATGGGTTCATATATTGGACCCGGGGGCCGGACCAAGAGTAGATGAATGATGTCTATGTATGAATTAATATAAAATAAATTAAAATTTGTAACATTAAATTTTTAATTAGATTAATTTAAGGTAGAAAAGCATAAAGAGTTATTTTACAAAACTTTTATGCCCCCCACTAGCTGCTGGCCGGTTTTTTTTCTACCATGCCATCCATAGTGCAGTATAGTAATATTGGAGCCCCATAGTAAGCATAGTAATTGATCCCCCCCTATAGTAATTGATCCCCCTATAGTATTTCATCCCCCATATTACTATTCCCCCCCTATGCCCCCCCGTAGTAAGCAAGTCCCCCGTGTCGATTTTGTACTTACCTTTGCTCCGCGCGGAAGATCTCGCCGTGTTGCCTATATGCCGTTCCGGTCTTCAGGGCGGACTGTGAGAGGAGCCTAGCTCCCCTCACGTTCGTCACGCTGCCCCGCCTACACACATCCTGACAGCCAATGTTTGCCTGCCCTGGCTGTTTTTTTTTTTTTTTTTTTTATCACGCTCCGTGGGCCAGATTAAAAGGTCCGCCGGGCCGTAGTTTGCCCATTGCTGGTATAGTAGCATAATAGCGTTCCCTTGGGTCTCTGGGACAGATAATGAAGCTGAAATTCCTGCTTTACATGCTAATTCTATTCAATCTTGGCCATCATTTCAAATTCATGCCATATTTGCTAATGTGTATTTGATATTTCTGGTTAAAATATTGTTTTTGACTCCTTTTTGCTAGGTTTGTCAGTATTTGTTGCAAATCTGAATTCTGCAAAAGATTTTGATGAAATTAAAAATGCTCTGAGGGAGTTTTTTTCTAAGAAGAACTTGCCAGTGCAGCGATGTTCGGATTGGAGCCTCCAAGTAAGTATTTCTTAAGATAACGTGCTGAATAGGCACCCTGTGCTGCAGCTCCTTCACTTTTCCATCTCTACTGCAGGAGGTTTGGCTATGTGGAGTTTGCTACTGCGGAGGAAGTGGAAAAAGCCCTGAAATTAAATGGAAAGAAGGTTCTCGGTTTTGAGATGAAAATAGAGAAGGCCAACACTCCTGCAGAGAAAACAAAAAATGCAGAGAACAAAAAAGGTATCTGTTTGTCGTCCCATATAGTACTTTTTGTTTTTAAATTGATCCATTGGCTAGTTTTTAAATTTTCACAATATGATTACATATTAAATGTACACATCTAGCCTAATGGCAAGCAAGAATAGATCCTGTGTATCTTTTGGATTCTAATTGACTTTAATTTACAGAGTTTCACAATCCATGTAAATTAGTCAATTACTGCTCACTCTTTGTTCCCTTTATAGTGATGCTGTTATTGGGGGGACCAAAAAGATGTTGGCAGCCTGGTTGTTATGCTGACACACTGTTTTTAATACTTACTCACCAGTTTTAATAAAGTGAGCAGATAAGGAAGGTTGGGGTTCAGTCAAGCCTATATTTGCATCCTTGTTTCAACAATAGCTTCAGTTTCCTCATAAGTAAAGTTTGCAGTACTAGAGGAAGATAATAGTAGCTTCTTCGTGGTGCATGTTCCAAAGTCGTAGAAATGTAGGCCTGATGTGTTCAGTTAGCCCTTCACAAAAGGTTTGTTCTGTGAGTTTAAATAAACGTTGCATTTCAGTAGTTTTCTAGAGCTATACCTGCATTCTAGTCTGCAGTGAAAATCGTTGAATTTTCAAAGTGGGGCTGGTCTAAACTGAATGTAGCAGAACTCCAAGGTGGTGGTCCTGGAGCTGCTTATTTTTCCAGATGGGTTATCTGAACAAAATTTCAATTTAATGAAAATATTTTTAATACTTAAATGTGTGTAACTTCATAAGACTCGCTTCTAATCTTAGAGAGAGATGCACGAACTCTGTTTGTTAAGAACATCCCCTATAGCACAACTTCAGAGGATTTGCAAGAGATTTTTGAAAATGCCAAAGAGATCCGTCTTCCAACTTCAAAAGATGGTGCTAGTAAAGGGTAAGTAGATCCGTGCTGTTTTTGACTGTCTGCAAAAGAATTTGCACATTTAAGTGTTCGTAAACTGCAGGAAAAAGTGTCCCCTGCAAGTTAATGTCATAATATGCTAGTATGCACTGCATACTATCACATTATGTAAAGATTATCTTAAAACAAAGCCCTCCAGTGGGGCACTGTCACCACTGCTGAGGCTTCTATGTGGAACTAAATCTCCCTTGAGGCATTGCAACATTACAAAACTGACAGTTACAGCTATGACTTGCAGAGGCATGATGGAACATGTAGTCCTGCAACAGCTGGAGAGCTTCAGATTGCCTACCCCTGCTTTAGAGGCAGTCTCCAGGCTTACTTTTGATTATACAGTGTAATGTTACTAGCGCTTATGAAGCGCTTACATTTTCTACTGCAATATTCCATTATTTGGACTACAGGCTAGCAAGGACTTTTTGGGACTGTTGGTAATGCCAATGCAGCTAGAGACCTACACCAGCTTTTTTTTAAATATATTGGAGAACAATCGGGGTTCTGGTCATACCCTATCTGTCTTTCTGAAATTCTATTGTGTACAGTAAAGGTCATAGAAGAAACTGGTCTGTGCATAAGATGGATTTATATATAAGCAGGTGAGAATAATGTAGCTGTAATGAAGAGGCTGGTATCACAGGTCTGCCTAAATGGTTCGGTTTTACAATTTTAACCATGCCAAAGGGTATTTCATCGACCTTTCTTTGTAGACAACTTGTCTACAATCCTACTTGGCCTCAGTTAACCACTTGGTGCCCGCCCATAATGTACTGCAGACAGGCAGCCACTGTAGGCAAAGCAACATAACCGTACATCGCTGCCTACTTCTGAGTTTTGGGCATGTGCATGGCATCCCCTGGCCAGCACCCTCTGTGATTTTACACAGCGGGAGCCTGTGAGCAAATCCCAGCTGGGACCTGCTGATCACCAGTGTACAATCACAGCCCAGAACTGTGTTTACTATCAACAGAGGGATCGATCTGTTTCGCATCCGGGATGAGAAACTTGGAGATCTATTAAAAGCAGCACACATTACACATAGCTGGACACACAACCCCTTGATCGCGCTAGATGGTAACCCCCCCCTCCCATCCAGTGTCATTGGTACAGTGACCATGTATAATATCACTGTATTAATATCAGTGGCAGTTGGTCAGTTCCCCCCAGTTTCAAGATTGCCACACTATTGCAATCCCCAAGTTGCTGATCACTGCATCAGACAATGCTGATCAGACATGTAGCACAATACATTTTGGCCAAAAGTTTTTTTTTGTTTTTTTTTTTTGTTTTTTTCTTCAGCCTTGAGCAGTACAGCAAACTGGGTTAAAGCAGGCAGCTTTGTTGCTTCCTCACCCTGTTTTTAACCCTTTAGTCTAGGTTCACACTAAATTTTTTTGCTTTGTGCAGAAATGCACAGCAGTCCATTTAACATGATTTCCTATGGGACATATTCCAGGAGTGTGGACATTTTTTTTTGAAAAAACTACTTGTCCAAGGGAATAAATCTGTGTCCCAATCTACTTGTCCCTCATGACAATCTACTAGATATTAAAAAAAAAAATTAACCAAAAGCATATTTAAATCAGAGGTGGCTATTAGGAATGTTTTAAAAACAAAAGGTGTTTTATGATGACTTAAACATTTTAATATTTTTAACATTGCACTGTTTATCCTCTCCTCCTCCTCCTTGCCTGTCTCCAGCACTGCACTCGGGGACTAGCAGAGAGACCTTGCCGTGTAATGAGCACTGATTGGGTGCTCATCATGAAAGGGGAGTTGGGCTTATCCTTTATCCCTTTCACTGCCAGAGCCATTTTTGCATTTTTTTTTTTTGCGCAAGATTAAAAAAAAAAAATTTAGGCCCTGAAGTTTACACACAACCCCGAAACATGATATATTTACTGAAATCAGAGACCTTAGAGAATATAATCGTGGCAATTCCATTTTTTTTTTTTGTCGCATATTGCAAATTTTCAATAAAAAATAAGTTAATTTTAGGGCACAAAAGAGCAATAAATTACCCTATTTTTTTGTAAAATAGAAGACTGGGTTGCATCGAGCAAATAGATATCCAACTTGTCAAACCTTAAATTTGCATGCACTCGTGAAATGGTGACAAACTTCAGTATCCTAAATTTTCTATAGGTGACGCATTTAAAGCCCCTTCTAGGTCGTCTGTATAGTGTTGCAGAGGTCTGGTGCTAGGATTATTGCTCTCATTCTGACTTGTGCGACGATTATGTAACATGTATAGCAATCGGCGTTTTCATGCATAAGCGCCCCAGCCTGTGCTTTTTATGTTTGCACGTGCATATATGTGGGGTGGCTCAATTTTTTGGGAGGTGGGGTGTTGTATGCTTGTGTGCAACTTTCATTTCAGTTAAAAAAAAGAAAATCGCCACATAGGGGACACTGTCCCCTATGAGATGAAAAAGAGTTGTGACAGGTTCTCTGAGGCATCCAAGGTCTAAAAGACCCTGCATGTCTCCCCTCTGCTCCCCTGAATTTAATGCAGTGCACATCGCACATCACTTGGCAAGTTGAGTTTTTGGTTCTATAGTCTTCAATGGAGACAATGCTGTAAAGCATGTAGTGCATTTTTTCGTAAGGGGTTTTTTTTTTTTTTTTTTTTCCTGCCTAGCAACTAGAAAAAAAACACTTGTACAAAAACACACCGCAAAAAGCACTGCAGAAACGCAAACTGCATAGGTGTGAACCTAGCCGTAGACCCAGCAGAAGCATGCAGTTGCTGAGCACTTAGTGGCCCCAATTACTTGGCTGTGTCACTATTAGCAGGCAGTAGTACTCGCCAAAAAGCAACAGGGATTAATTCCTGCTGCTGCATGTGTACATCTTTTTGCTGCTGCCTCAGTTAAAGGGGGTAGAGATTAAAAGCAATCAAGGGCTCAATTACAAGTGCAGGATGTACTGTTCCTCTGAAAAGTGATCCGGGTGGTGAGGAGGCAATATGTTGCCTTCTGTACCACCTGATTTTAAACCCATGATTGCTGCGCAATACGCATGATTGCAACACGGTAATGTGGCAATTAGAGGTTTAAATCGGGTGGTGACACTGCCTGTTTGACTTCTCCCATGTTTTCAGGTAGGTCTCAACCTCAAGGTTAATGTACTGTTTAGTGCAGGATTCGGTTTATAAAGGAATCCCCTTGCAAGATCTGTGGCCAGATACAGATGCATGTTTGTTGGTGAGCCACAAAAAAAAACCCCAAACAGATAACGACTACATTTAATTGTTTAACATTCCTAGTGCCCATTTTTTGTCCCATCTAGACTTGGGCATATGTTTACAGTCTTGTGTATGCAAATAAAACAGTAATAACCAGATGCATAGCATGTGCTTAAATGCGTAATTGTATACCCTTAGGATTGCCTATGTGGAATTCAACACTGAAGCTGAGGCAGATAAAGCTATTGAAGAAAAACAAGGTACAGAAGTTGAAGGCCGTTCTATCTTCATAGATTACACCGGAGAAAAGAGTCAAAATTCTGGAGGCAAAAGAGGACCACCAGGAGGTTTGTGATGTGTAAAATTTAGCTACTGTCTATTAAAAGTAAAACTAATTTTAATACAATCCTGTAATTCCAAGCTTCAGGTGAAATCTGAAGTTGCTTGAACAATTGCATTATTTTACACTTGTTCACATATGGGTTTTAGACCTAATAGTTTAAGGCTGGAAATGATGACTGCTAACTCAGAATAATTATGGTGAAATAACATTTTACAAGATAGTCAAGTTCTGATCCAGCTTTTCATAGTCAATATACAGACAAAATGTTGATTGGTGCTGCTGCATAAACTGCCTACTTGCGTTTCTGTAACTATGAATGTGACCTACAATTTTCTTTTAGGTGAGTCGAAGATAATTGTTGTGAATAACCTGTCATATAATGCAAATGAAGACAGTTTGCAAGAAGTTTTTGAAAAGGCAACTTCTATTAGGATACCACAGAATAATCAAGGCCGGCCAAAAGGGTATGTATATAGACTGTTATTGTAAAATGTTTTTGTATCTAGCAATATTGTAGAAAAATAATGCATGTGTTCTCATGACTATTTGAATGGGTACACTGTTTAAATGTGACATTGTGAAATGTAAAAAAGGAAAGGTTTCTTCAATATGCTAATTTGAAACCATGTTTACACTTGCAGGTTTGCCTTTGTTGAATTCCCTTCTGTAGATGATGCAAAGGATGCAATGGAGTCCTGTAATAATACAGAGATTGAAGGAAGAACGATAAGACTGGAGTACTGCCAGTCAGGAGGATCACAAGGTGGGAATGGTGTTGCTTTAGAGTTGCCAATAAGTTTAGGCTGGAAATGATGAGGACTGTATCTGAATACCTTTGATGAAACAAAACGTTCTCTAGATAGTCAAGTACTGATCCAGCTTTAACCCCCATAGAGACAGCTTTGTTTGCCATCATCCAGCCCTTGAGGTATAATTCCTGCCACCAATAATTGGGCATAATTCCTCCCACTGGCACCAATGTTAAGGTACTATTTCTCCCTGTAGTACCAAAGATGGGGCATTGTTTGCTCCTACTGGGCACAGTCCAGCTCTCCTAAGGTCTGAAGGACCGTCAACTGGCCCTTGGTTAGAAAGTGGAGAACCCCCCCCCCCCCCCCCCCCCCCCCCCCCCCCCCCCCCCCCCCGCCTTTTTAAAGGATGCGTTCGCTCCCTTTTTTTTTTTTTTTTTTTTCCCCCTATGAGGTTCCCCTGTCTTGTAAGGAGCTTTCATCTAATTCAGGTGTTGGCACTTTGGGTTAGACAGCTCCTGGTTCTATCTTGGATCTGTCATTGACTGTTTCCCACTCGGTTGGACTGCTTTTGTATATTACAAATATCTAGAAATTATTGCATTTCTGTGTCCCCCAATGAGCAATGTCAAAATATATTTTGGTAGTTTCCTTCAAACGTTCTTTTTTTTTTTTTTTTTCCAAGTCCATTAAAAAAAAAAACATACAAGACATTCATGATTCGTCTTTTGCATACTCTTTAAAAACGTATAACTTGGATCAATGGGGTGCAGAGATGTTCTGACTAAAAATGGCATATAAGTTTGCTTTTAATTGCCCTGCAGTTGTGTAAATTACTTTTTTTGCTTTTGTCTTAGGATCTAATCAGTCAAAGACACTTTTTGTCAAAGGACTTTCTGAAGACACAACTGAAGAAACCTTAAAAGAGGCTTTTGACGGCTCTATAAATGCAAGGATAGTAACAGATCGAGACACTGGAGCTTCAAAGGGGTGAGTAGTAAATCTTAGGCTGTAGCTGCTGGCAAAAATCCAATGCCTGCATACAAGATCTTTTTATGGGTTTTGCGTACCTTCTCTTTGAGCTCTGCCCTGCCAGCTTCCTGTGGCAGTGATTGGATTCGCAAGGGAAGGATAGAAAGTGCACTGCTAGCCTAAAGTTGCCCCTCAAATGAGGAGTGAATGGCTTCTGTGCAACATATTTAAAGGAGTGAAACATTTAAGCATCTGCAGTGGTTTTATGAAAGTACTGTTTGGTAATCTAGATAATTTTTCACTAATGTTTAACTTTGAGGCCCAAAGGCATGCTTTTGACAGAAGGTACCGAACAAGTGTTGACTCGGGCTGAAATACACTTGCCTGACATTTTATTGTGGGCTAACAGTGCCTTTGTTGCTCTCAAGGCCCAAACTGTGTAGTCCAGCTGTGCCCAGTTTCATTGCTGAACTATTGCCCATCCCACATCCCTCTTTCCATAACAAGGTGGAGGGGGGGGGGGTCTAGGTAATTTCGAGAAATGCCCGTTTTTAACGTGCAAAAAATTGGATGGTTATAAAAGGGGTTAGGTAGACTTGCTGGATAATTTCTCACATGTATATACTAACGTGTTGCAATGTATGAAATGACTGCCTTTTTCAGTGTAAAACACAAGTTCATTTCTGATAGGCCATTACACTATTTCTAGCTATAGTGAGAAGCACGATATTGTGCTGAATCATTGATAAAGGTCTGATTTATTCACTTCCTAGTTTCAGATATTTCAGTTATCTTTATGTCAATACATGCCTCATGCTGAATTTTATTCACTCGGATATGTTCTATCATTTTTTGTTAAAGTTTGCATATACAAACAGATTAAACATAAAATGTTTGGAAATAGTGGTAAATCCTTTCTACCTGTAGCTCTAACTTCAATTTCAGATTATTGCCCACTGTTTATTTTTTTTTATTTTTTCTTCACATCAGATTTGGCTTTGTAGATTTCTCCACTGCTGAAGATGCTAAAGCTGCGAAGGAGGCAATGGAGGATGGGGAGATAGATGGAAGTAAAGTTACTCTAGATTTTGCAAAGCCTAAAGGTGAAGGTCAGCGTGGTGGCCGTGGAGGTTTTGGTGGCAGAGGAGGTGGACGTGGAGGTTTTGGCGGCAGAGGAGGTGGCCGTGGAGGTTTTGGCGGCAGAGGAGGTGGCCGTGGAGGTTTTGGCGGCAGGGGCGGAGGACGTGGAGGTTTTAAAGGTAAGATGGGCATAAATCTTTCTAGTTGGTCTGAAACAGCAATGCGGTTGTAGGCTTTTGTGGATTTTTTTTTTTTTTTTTTTTTTTTTTTTTCCCCTCCCTAATCCCTTCATGTTTTTTTTTATTTTTTAGGTAGAGGAGGTGGAGGATTCAGAGGTGGAAACCAAGGCCAAGGAAAGAAAATCAAATTTGATGACTGAAGAGTTTTATTCTTGTCTCCTTCAAATTTCAAGCCATCTCCCTTAACTGTAAGGACTCTGAGAGCTGAAGGGGGGCAATGAAATTCCCCTCAACCTATCATCTAGCTATGGCAGAGCCTTCTGTGTGGACATTCCAGTGTGGAGACATACCTTTTCCTGTTAACATCTGGACACCGAGTCATTTCATGGAAGATGTGTGACTGCTTGACTGTCCTTACAGACTTTTTTTTAAAGAAGTGTGTGTGAAAGAAGAAACTGTCCTGAAGTTGTCTGTTTTACTCACTGTACAATTTTTTTCCTACAAATCCTGTAGTATTTTGCTATAAATGCAGAATGTTAATGGTTTGTGCTTCAGCCGCTGTCTTCAGATTAAAGGACCTCATCTGGTTACACATTTTTTACATATTACATATTTTAACATTTTAAATGTTCTGTTTTACAAATGTCAGGTCTGTAATGCAGTGTTATAATTCTGATGAAATGGTGTACTTGAAACCTTAGTGTTCAGAGCGGTTTGTCCCCACTAAGGAGGTTTCTTAACACTTTGTTATGGTGACACTCATAAGCCTTCAAAGCCTAATTCCAACTTGTCCTGTGAGAATCAAACCCAGAGGCAGGTCAGCTAACACCTCTGAAAACCCTTTGGTGTGAAAGGTGAGTCCCCCACGTACCTGTTTTGTGGCTGTTTGGAAATCTGGACAGGTCTGTAGCTAGGTTGCCTCCCTGGTAGAGCTCAGGATGCTCCTTTTTAGCCAACAGACTAACTCTTTGGGGTTGATTTTATTAAAACTGATGAGTGCACAATACAGTGCAGCTGTTCATGGTAGCCAATCTGCTTCTAACCTCCGCTTATTCAATTAACCTTTGACAAGAAAACCTGGGCACTGATTGGTTTCTATGCAGAGCTGCAGCAAATTTTGCACACCATTTAAATTAACCCCTTTTTGACTTTCTCTGTTCTTGTGCTGCTGTACAACAATGCAACTTCTCAGGAATTCTGGGACTCCCCTGTCCAAGTGTATCTGGTACTTCCTTTGAGGGGACTTCTGATCTACAAGGTACTGGCTGTTGTCTAACTTGACAAAGACCTGGCCCCTCATGCCTTTCAAATTCATCTGTTGCTTGGGCCCTGTCCACTCCAAGTGGGGTTTTTTTCCATGTCATCGCCATTGTAGATTTCTCAGCCTCACCTGAAGAGGGTCTGGTTTTTTTTTTTTTTTTTTTTTTCTGGCCCTTGGCAGTCAAAACCCTTTTGAATACCCTAACACAAGCCTTTGGCATATGTACTCACAGGCTATGCTGGTTATGGATATCTTTCATTGACAGATGAGCCTAGTCGGCCTCAACAATCTAAAAACCCCACACCCGGTTATCAGATCCTTAATTAACAGGCTTCATCTTTTCTCTTCTCTAGACACTGCTTGAGGGGAAGTGGTATCTGAGTGACATATCTAAATGGTCTCTAGTAAATCCTGCCATGACCCATCGACTTATTCTGCTGAATGATGTGTTCTTCCCCCCCCCCCCCCCCCCCCCCCCCCCCCCCATCCCCCACTCTGGGGGACTCCAGTTGCTTTGGGTATCCCATTTGTTCCCCAGAAAAGATGATTTTCTCCTTGTCAGGGCATCCCACTGTTCCAACTTTATTCAGTTGGATTCTGCTGGATATAAGGGTTTCCAGAACCTTCAGGTCCAGGAAAGTTTGGGACTCCTCCCTGTGACAGGGCAAGTGGCAAGGACAATGCAGAGTAATGCTGTCAGCTGCACTAGCATCTCTAGAGAATGCATTGACCTCTTGCTCTCTGCTGATGCTGTGTAGCAAAAGAAATTTGCACAGTGGAGTTCTCCGCATCTTTAATGGTATAAAGAAATCACTGAAGGGCTCTGGGCTTCTAAGTGTTGCCAGAGATTTTGTGGGGGCCAAGTTACTTGGAAATGGCTCTTTGCGGCTGATTACCATAGAATGTTTACGGTCCTCTGTTCTGCCCCCTTTCAGGTGGATGTTCTAGCTGTGTGGCTAAGGTTCATATCCCTTCCTTCATGACATTGGATGCTTTGTTAGGCCATGGGGCATAAGTAAATTCTTAGAGCCATGTTCTGTTAAGGTAAGGGAGATCTTCAAAGTTCTCTTGTCTGGCCCCAGAGATACTGGTGGATGGTTTATTCATCCTTTTCTGTTCTAGTGTATCTTTGCACCAGTCTAGGGTGGTGTTATATTGTTCTTTCATGCCTATCCCCTTTTGTGCAACCCTACCCCCCTTTTTTTTTTTTTTTTTTTTTTTTTTTTTTTTTTTCCCCCCCCCCCTCTTCTAGGTTGACCATGGTTTGGCCTACCTGAAGTTTCTATGTGTCATGCTGCCACTTTCAGATGAATGGATAGTGGCCATAAAAGCAGGTTCCTTTTTACTCAGGCAAGCTTCAGTTTTGAGCTACAGTCCATAGGTAATGGATGTCTGTGGAGTCTAAAGTTTTCTCAACTGCGTGTGTGTTTTTTTTTTTTTTCTCTTCTCCCCCCCCCTATTCTGTTCACACATGCTGGGGTATTGGGAGAGCATTATGAAGGGTGTACTGTAAGGATGCTATTCTGCACTGGACCTGGTGGACAGTGATTTGCTAGGATACTTGGTATCTGGTTACCTTGCAGGTAGGTGTGCTGTATATGCCCAGAATGGTGCTCTGTTGTGGGGGAGCTGTGTCCCTGAAGTTCTTTGCAGGTGTGTGCATCATATGGTTGAATGTTAGTCTTAAAAGGTTCCTGCAGCTGGATGCAGAGTTCTGCCAGTGCTGGTTGAAATATGAGATTTGCCTGGTATGCTGGCCAATGCTTAAATTGGAACTTCACTTTCTAAAGCAACATGGACTATTTCTAATCCTTATGCTGCTAGCATTAGTAAATGGGAAAATATGTCACTTGTGTTTAACTTTTTCTGTATTCCTTTTGGTTTCCATGCCTAGGCAAATGTCATACATCCCAGGAGGGGGAGGGTTTCCGGCTCAGCCAGTGCCTGAGTGAAGAACAGATGGATTCCAAGAAGTAACTGCTATATGATTTATTTGCTATGACTCAAGGTGGCCACTGCCAGAAATGCCAGGAGGTATCTTTCAAAATGATTTTTTTGAGCAAAATAAAGCATGGAGACATGGATGGAGAAGTTTGTTTTTTGATTTTTTTTTTTTTTAATGAATTGTATAGCATTTGTGGTACTCAGATGCAGTGTAGTTCCACTTTAACCACTTGCCCTCCTAAAGGATTTATCCCCCTTCCTGACCAGGTCTTTTTTTTTTTTTTTTTTTGCATTACGGTCCTGCATTACTTACGATTCTTTTGGTGGTATTTGATCGCCTGTACATAATAAATATAATATAAATATATATATATTTATTTTTTTTTTTTTTTTTAACCAACAATTCTGAGGAAATATTTTTGACTTTTTGCTATTAAACATGTCAAATTGTCATAATCTGGGCCAAAATGTATTCTACATACCTTTTTTCTCTAAAAAAAAAAAAAAAAAAAAAAATCAAATACATGTAAATTGGTTTATGTGAATGATGGTGTTTGCAAATGGCGGTATAGATACTGGTTTTTTTTTTTTTTCGTTTACTAGTAATGGTAGTGATCGGTGACTTATAGTGGGATTGTAGCGGTCATTGTGACACTGGGGGGGAACTGACTAGCAGAAAGGGGTTATATTTTTATATTGTGTTATTTTGCACGCCCGTGCTGCCAAAGTAGCAGTATTTCTGGTATAGTGCAGTCAAAGTGGTTAATGTTCTGTTATCGTATGGCTGTGCTGTAATGGAGTACCATCCAACTGGTTTGGAAGAAGCAGGACCATGCAGGTGTGGTGCTCTAATTGGGCTGTTCCACTTTTAATAATGCCCCACTTGGGCACACGTGTACACAGCATGTATTGCCATGGGGGGGGGAGGGAGGGTTAAGGAAAGCTTTCAGGGATTCTCATTGGGTTGCAGTGCCTGGGATACAAACCTGCGTGCTCTAATTTACAAGAGGATGAGGTGTCAAGTGGAACATTCTCTGGATGTTGGGGTCTGGGGTTGTCTGACAAAAAATTAATCACAGTGGGCTTCCTAGTTTTTAACTGCTTTCGAAGGCCTCTTCTCCCAAAGTTACTGGATTTGCCTTGTGGCAGCTGCTTGAAGCATCACACCTTTTCACTAACTTCTGGTCCCAAGAAGTCACGTCATCTTTTGAGATGAAAGTGGTTTTCTTTGGCACAGGCATGATAACCCCTTGAAACCAGTTTTCCAGTGCTGCACAGAAGCTCTCAGCTTTTATTCCAACCTATTTATGGTTCCTAATCTAAATGAAAATGTCCAGTCAATTCTGGACCTAAAGGGTCTCAAATTCATGCAGAAATTCAGCATGGGTTCTACCCAATCAGTGCCTGCTTCACTTCATCAAGGGCACTTTCTGGTGTCTGTGTATATCAAGGATGCCCACCTACACATCCAAATATCCTAGCCTCACCAGTTTGCAGTAGAGGACTGCTACTTGTTTGTGGCATTGGTGTTTTGGCTTTCTGTGGCTTCTGGAGTGATTACTAAGGTGTTGGTTCTGGGATTGGGGACCTGCACCATCCTCATAGTGGGGTACCTGGCTGATCTACTTCTCAGAGCAAAATTCAGTGCTTGGCTTTAAATGCCCATAAGGCAGTGCAGGTCCTGGAGCTTTTCACTTGAATACTAAAACATCAGCAGTCTGTCTTGATTCTGCCACAATGTCTTGAGTAGTTAAGCTTAGTCCTAGATATGGTGCAGGGGAGGGTGTTCCTTCTGAATGAGCAGTTCCTGTCCCTACAGTCTCAGGTGAGGCCTCTGCAGTGTTCCGCAAGCTATGTTTGCAAGAGGGTATTGGGATAGATGGTAGACACTCACTCCCCCCATGTGATTATATACACCAAGTTTCACCAGTCCTCGTGCTTGCAGGACTCTCCAAGACTAGATTGCCTCTGGACTGGTAGATCTCCATGCAGATG